GAGCCCTCAGCAACCCCACGGTTATCGGAGTACCCCCTCCGTCAGTCGGCAGTCCAGGGCACTGTGTGTCTGAGTGGATCGCAACGCGATTTTGCGAATCCCACTCCCCCCCCCGCCAAGCGTGGAAAGCCCCCTCGCGCCGCGGCTGCAAGATATCATGAGTATATTACAGACGTCATTGCAAATCGTAATTTAGCGAAGAAGCCCACTACGGCGCAGGTCATCTGTTCCGTTATACAAAATTTTACAGGTGTAGCCATTCCTGAGAGGACCATGCGGGAACGAGCTGGCGCGCATGGATGTCAGCTACATACGAAGGAGACGAAGAGACCCAAGAGCAGACTCGGAGGTAAATATTGCCTTTAGACCAGCTTATTTGGCTAACAAAGTGTCAAATCTTAGCGCGCGCTTGCATCCTAAAGTTACTGAGGTCTTCCTCGACGAAAGTTACTGCAACGTAAACCACACTGCAGGCTCGTCCTGGGTCGTGAAGCACTCGCCACGTTACGTGGCAAACGGTGCAGGGCAGCGGTACTGCATTGTCGGTGCTGGGTCTGTCTTCGTCAAGAACGGCGGCTTGTGCGCAGAGTGGGTGCATGGGTCGATCAAGAGCTGGCCTTCGCATTTGAAGGGCGACGGCGACTACCACAGCAACTTCACTGGTGAGCTCTTCGAGTTGTGGTTCGAGGAGCTCTGCCAGTTGCTGCAGTCTCGGTACGGGCCGTGCCGCATCCACATGGACGGCGCGGCGTACCACAAGGTTATCGAAGACCCAGCGCCCGCCAGCTCCAAGACGAAGGCTGTAATGGTGAAGTGGCTGAACGAGCACGGAGTGACAGTGGGCGTGAACGATTATACGAAGAAACAATTGGAGCAGCTCATAGCGCAGGTAAGCGCGAGTACATGTATTTTGCTATCCTAACTAACCAACTAACCAGCCAACTAACGTACGTGTATTCGCTCTGCTGACTAGGCAAAATCACCAACTACCTACCGTGCCTTGACGAAAGCGAGGCGCTACGGCCACGAAGTGCTGTACCCCCCCCCCCCCCCCCCCCCCCCCCCCCCCCCCCCCCCCCCCCCCCCCCCC